TCATTAAGGATTATGTCACCAGATCTCTCCTCGAAATTTTTAAAATGTTATCTAAATAAGCTTTTTTAAATAAAAGACTTAAAGAAGGCAAAACACAGAACTAGTGTCCTTAAAGCAGAAATTTATCAACAATGAGTTTCTATTTTGTCTGCTTCAGTTAGCCTTTTGAAAACATCTCTAAAATGATAATATTTTGTTTGAATAATAAACGGGGGAAATGATGCAGTGAATCCTATTCATAAATCACCTGAGGGGAAAAAAAGCCATTTTGAGAAACATACCACATAAAAGCTATCATTTAAAGAGCTAAAATAAATACGAAAATAAAAACAATATCTGTGCTTATTTTTTGATTGTTGATGAAAAACCATATAATCCCTGTGCATTTTGCCATATTTTGTTTTATCAGCAGACACAATTTTATTTGCCATTTAGTATTTATAGTACTTTAATTTTTTTCTAGCATCTTTCAGTATGCAACAGTGACACTATAATATTTGTAAAACCCTTATTTCCTTTAATTGCCATGACAGTAAACACTTGACATGCAGAGACTCACAGCTATTAAAACTAGCTTTCAGCAGGGTTAGTGGGCTTGGAGGGCTTTCTTTATGACCTAAAGGGGAATATTTATAAGGAAGTTCTACCACTTGTACTCTACAGATAGTTTTCTGATGAGTGGATATATATATCCTTACATTTGAAAATAGACGTCCTGCTTTTTCTCAAGCAGAGGAGGATCCAATAAAAAAACTTTTCCTTGTTACAACAAAACAAAAAGAGAATTCAGTATGGTTAAGACTAGTTATGTCTTGTAAATTTGAACCACATTACTCGAGCAGAAATTCCAGCTGTTAAAACACAGATAAAGGAAAGCTCAAGGAAGTAGTGCACAGCTTTCTCAATAGGGTTGAACACTAACATTGAGTATTGCTTGAACCATAATGCGATTGCTTTGGGGTCATTGATGATGTCATCATGCCTCAATTTTTCTGGTTCGTTTGTCTGTTGAATTTCACTTTACAGAAGGAAATTTTATTACTTTTTTTTTTTTACTTTATTGGATTTTGCACAAAATTAAACACTGTATTAAAGACCTTCAATGAATTCTCAAAATAATGTGAGAAACTTGGATTTGTATCTAATTTTGAAGTTAGTTTGATTTATGCAAAGCACTAAAAGTTTGGACTGTCTTGCCTGTTTTCCAATAATAAAATGAGTAATATCCAGTTTAAGGTAAAATTTCTTCCTCTTTACCTTCTTTTAATTATTTTCCACATTTCTGTGTGGAAAATATAATTTTGAGACCTGAGGTGCAATAAATAAATTTAAGAACTGAGGAAGATGAATTTGATCCATACACTTTTCTGTCATTTGTACTTCAACCAAGTTCTAAAAGACTCTATTCTAAAGTCATGGAATATTAGATCAGTTATGTTGTTAAAAACGAACACTGCTGGGCAGTATGCAATCTGATAAAAATTAAGAATTCAGCCTGTAATATCTAATTTCATTACTGAAGTTTCATTACCAAAGATACTAGCAATACAGTGCCCTTCACTTGTCAAAATAAAGAAAACAAAAAAAGGAGGAAAGAAGAAAGGAAGGAAGAAGGAAGGGGAGGGGAGGGAAGGGAAGGGCAGGGCAGGGAAGGGAAGGGATCACCCATCTGGGAAAAGGGGAGCATTGGGTAGTAATTGCCTCTCCATGATACCTTTCTCTGTCACCTTAAATTGCAAACTGCTACTAACAAAGTTATCTTTGGGAATAAAATGCATTACTTTCATAATTCCTAAATCTCTGATTCTTGAATTTTAAAATAATTTGATATAAAATTAGAGAATATTATATGAAAAATTAATATACCAGCAGGAGTCTATCACATGCTGTAAAAGTGGTATTTTACATAAAAGCTGTATTATCCTGTTCATGGACCAGCTAAAGAAATTAGGAATATATTTATCTAACAGTTTCATTAAAATAGATAGCAGTTAAAATTTATTAAAATTTGTCCTGTTGCAACATAGGCAGTCCTTGACTACAGTATTAACAATTTGTACACACATTTTTCTAGCTGGAAGTCAACGTATCTACTCATATCTATGTTTTGTAGGTTGCTTTGACTCTCTTAAAACATAGACTAAGTTCATGCAAAAAATGAAGGCAGTAAAAAAATTTTTTTCGAAAAGTGTTGTTGTTGTTGATTGCCGTCAAGTCAAGCACGACTCATATTGAGTGACTCATTGAATGAAAGGCCTAAAGCCTTTCTGTAACTACCATGATTATCAAAGTTCATACAGTTTCCAGAGCCATGTTGTTTAGGAAGTGAATGCCACTCTTTCTGTAAAGGATATTATTATTTAAACAAAATAAATTATTTCTGTGGATTTATTATATACGGTTCTATCTGATACAGGGGAATGAAAAAATAATGTCAGATGATCTTTTTTCTCTAGGAGTTCCTACCTCATTTAGGAAGAGAGACTAAAAGTCAATTTTAATCTAGCATTCATATAATATCTAGGGATTCAAGCAATATGATGGAATTACAAAAATTGCATAACTGATAATAAGGTTAGCAATAAGATCAAATTAGAATTCTTGAGAGTAGTTCTTGGGTTGAAATTGAGAGCAAGGAAAAATATATACAGAGTGGCCTGCAGTAGTTCAAAATGCTGGTGCACAGACTACATGAAGAGTATCTTAGATATACAGCAAAGATGTTAAGACAGACTTTGGTATAAAGCCCTTTGTATAAAAAAAAATTCAAGGATATCTATCGAGTTTTGTTCTAGCAGTTATGAAAAGTCATTGGAAGATTTTAAAGGTAAAATGGTAAGGTGAAATGAATTTTTTTTAGAAAGAATTTAGCAGCAATGTAGAATATTAATGACTGAAACTGGGCAAAGAGTTCACATAGTTAATTTTAAGATGATAAATGGTAAAAAAAGTAGATATAAGAAGTTCAAGGAGAAGATACAAATGTTAGATATATCAGAAAAGAACAATAAAATAAGAGGAATGTCTACTTGGGTTAGTTTTATGAGAACCATAAAGTCTAGAGATTCAGAACTTCATTTTGTTTATGACTGTATTCCCAATTCCTGTCTTAGAGTGTGGCATACAAGCAACATTGAATCTTTTTTCAATAGTTAAAGAAATAAAATAAAGGAAATCCATTTTATCTGTCAAGCAGAAGATGTGAGGTTGTCTGCTGAGCACAATTAGAGTGATTTTTTTAAGTTCGAGTGCTGGATTAAATAACAGTCTAAGGAAATTATGTAAAGAATTAACTAGAGAAGCATATAAATCACTTAGCAGTTTTGAAGAATGAGCTAAACTCAGAGGCTTGCAATTGTGGTATATATTTGAGTGATTTATTCTTGTACTTATCAGTAGCCTAGGAACTTGAAGACAGAAGTACAGTTGAGAGAATGATGGACAGAGAAGTGAAAGGCTGACTAAGGAAGGGGCAGATGAAAAGGAATGATTGTTGTAATTTAAAAAATATGAAAAGTCCTAATTTCAAAAAGAGGTCAATAAGTATTATGGTGGTATGAATAAAAATGTAGCAGGGCTTGAGGAATGAGGAGATATGATGAGTAATCAAGCTTATTCATTGCTAAGCAGTTACACTGACTAATAAGGTTCTCAGTGTGACAACTGTGTCGGCTGAAGGACTGCTATTTTTAGATGCCATCTAGATTGAGGACTGTTGAAGCTCAACATCAAGAAGACAAAGATTCTCACTATTGGGCAAACTGGAAGCACCATGATAGATGGAGAAGAGATTGAGGTTGTTTACAATTATAGTTTGCTTGGCTTCACAATCAACACTCTTGGCACCAGCAGTCAGGAAATCAAAAGATGAATTACCCTTGGAAAATCTACTGTCAGGGATCTCTCCAGAAAAAGAGAAGCAAGGATGTCAGTCTAGAGACTAAGGTGCACCTGATCCAGTCCATGGTCTTTCTAATTACTTGCTATGCATCAGAGAGCTGGACGGTGACTAAGGATGACAGAAGAATCAATGTCTTTGAGTTGAGTTGTGGTTGTGGTGTTGGAGAAGAGACTTGAACGTACCATGGTAGGCCAAGAAAACAAATAAGTCTGTTTTAGAGAGAGTAAAACCAACTTTCTCTTTGGCAGCAAGGATTTTGGAGCTCTTTCTCACATATTTTGGGCATGTGTCCAGGAGGGACCTGTCCTTGGAGAAGGACATCATGCTTGGAAGGGCAGAAGAACAGTGCAGGAGAGGAAGACCCCAGATGAGATGGACTGATACAGTAATTGGGTTAACGAGGATAAGTGTGTCAGAATCAGTAAGACTGGTTCAGAATAGGGCAGTCTTCAGAGCGGTTTTAGGTAGAGTCCCTATAGTCACAGGAGACTTGACAGCACATAACAACAACAGGTGACTACAACGCATAATGTATGTCCCTATAGACAACAGATCAGACCCTTGCCTATCATTTGCCATCATCATACATCACCATGCTCAAGCCCATTGCTGCAGTCACTATGTTTGTTAACTCCATCTCATTAAGGATCTTCCTCCTCTCTTTCCTTCACCTTTCTCAGTACAATGTCTTTTTCCAAGGACTGGCCCTTTCTGACAATAGGCCTGAAGTACATGAGATGAAGTTGCATCATCCTTGCCTTTGTGGACACCCTGACTGCATTTCCTCCAATACAGATTTATATGTTCTTTTAGAAGCCCCTAGGATCAAGTGTTACAAAGAGATAATTTCATTCAGTTTATCACATGTGTACTTTCTGGGATGAATGAAAGAACACAGAGATTTAAAACAAAGTCATTATACTTGTAAAATCATTTTCTTACTAATGAGATTGATGTTATTCACTCACATGCTATTGCTATTCACAGTAAGTGTTTTGTGGATCCTCAAAGTTTAATGCAGTTTATCTGAACAATCAAGTCCTTGTTGAAGGTGATAGGTTCCTAATAACTTTTCTGGTTTCTGTGTTGTCTTTTCAAGGAGCCGCTGTTTCATCTGGAATCAGACCAATCTGAGAGAGGAAGAGGGAAATGTCCTTTTGACCCCAGTTCCTCCTTCATCTCCACTTTAATTGGTAATTATCATTGCTTCTGCTGTCAGTTCCAAGTCTTACAGCCTTTTGAGGTTATTTTTTTCAACTTCAGCCATGTTTTCTTCTTCTTAGCATTTCCTTGTCTTCTTTGCTTTATCATTTGTATTTATTAGTTGTGGAAGCTAAAATACGAAATTATAGTCTAGGTTAAGATGAGCTGATTTGACCCCGAAATAAATGCCAATGCTGTGACATGAGGTGTCTCATTCTAGAAAAATTTTTACTTAATATCAGGTATGGCACATTTTGCATTGAATAAATTACTATTCAAAGTATGCAATTAAATATTAAACATATACTTCACAATTTAAAAAAGCAAACCAACACACATGAAGAAACAAACCATTTTCACATTTGCTCTGTCTCATTGATCCACTCCATGACCTTAGGGAGGACTTTTAAATACCCTCTTTTTGAATGAATTTTATGTGCCACTAGAAAGCAAAAGATCTCTGACTTGATAACTTCAGTGCTGTTGATCCAAGTTTATGCTAATGTGGAACGTAAATTGTAAACATTGAGCAACTCAGGCTAATAAGGTCAATTAAAGAGAAGGAACTTAAACCGGCACATTCATCAGCACTCTGTTGTTGTTCTTGTGTACCATCAAATCAGAAATGACCCATAGCTGACCCTCTGGTGCGGTTTCAGAGACAGTTACTGGTTCCGGAGGAGATTTCCCATCCTTCTCCCATTGAGAGGCTGACGGCCTCCAATCCTCTGCCTTCTGGATTGCAGCACAACTTCTTGCCACTAGGCTACCAGAGCTCCCTCAAACCACTCTAGCATTGTAATAATACAGAGAAATTAACAACTTCCCAGGTAACAATCTCCAGAGAGCAATTGCTGACACCTTGTATGGGTGCTAGAATACATCATGGTTCTGCTTTTTCAGTAGTTCATTTATTCTGATACAGCACAAATTAACTGGTCCATCTGACATACTTTGGACATGTAAGGAGGGATCAGCCCTCAGAGAGTGATGTCATGCTTGGGAGGGTGGAGGGACAGTTCAGGAAATGAAGACCCTTGATGATGTGGATTGATTCAGTGACTGGGGTAGTGGAGGTAGGTGTATCAGAGACAATAAGGTTGGCTCAGGGTAGAGTATGGTTCAGAGCTATTGTGCATAGGGTCACTATAAGTAGTAGGTAACTTGAGGGCACATAGTGACAACTATTACCCATTCAAAATTTGAAGTTATTAGTTAATATCAGATCAGCATATTCATAGAAAGTATACTTTTACAAGATAATGGAGATTATATATTCTAAATACAGGTGATTCTGGACTTTTGACAGAGTTTCATTCTTCTTTTTATTCTTATTCATTTTCATTATTTTAGCCTCTGATTATAGGCCTTTTAAAAGATCTTATTTGGACATCTGTAAGTGAACATCGAGGGTGAAGACAGCAGTATCTTAAATGTTATAATAGCATGTGTAATATGTGTTGCTAGTAAGAAGGTCTAAAAATAATAACAAACCAGATTGCTATAAGTGTGGTTCATCAAAGTAGAAAATGTTATAAGTCAGGGACTACTTAAGCTTACAACTCCTTCTTAATTATTAATCAAAATGTATGTGTGAGTATGATTTAAGACCTTTAAGAATATACATTCTCTGCTACATTCTCTGCATTTATTTTTTTTTCTCTGCATTTAATTCTGACAGTTGGTTTTGAGAGCTTCACAATCCACTCCTATACAACAACAAAAAATTTTAACTTTATAAAGTATTTACAGTTTTTCAAATAAATAAATAAATTTGGAAGTATTCACACTTTTCATTTTGAAAGCACTGAAGAATGAGAATTTCACAAACTAATTAAACTCATAAAGGGCTTGAATAAAGATACAGAAAGAGATCCATTCGTTTCAAATGTTTTAGTTTGTCTGCCAAACCATTTTTGTGTAATGTGTAATCAGAATATAAAGAGGCTTCATAGCTGAGACTTATTTTATGTAACCTTGGAATCAGAAGCAACTAATAGCTGACCCTCTAGCAGGTTTTCAGAGGCAGTAAATTACAGAGGGGGAAATTGTGCATCTTTCTCCCACATTCCTTTCTACCACGTGCCTTTGGCTTGGTAGCACAATCCCTAACCACTAAGCTACCAGAGCCCTATATCTGAACCTGCTGTTGTTGCGTGCCATTGAGTGGGAACCGACTGGTCTGTAGCTGATTCTCCAGAAGGTAAATCCTGTTTTCAGAAGCAGTTAATGGCATGGGAGGAGATTGTCTATCCTTCTCGCACAGAGCAGGGAGGAGTCAGTGGATTCTAACTATGTGCCTTTTGGGTTTGCAGCACAGCCGCTTACCGCTAGGGCACCAGAGCTCCCTTAAAGTGCTTTACTTTACACAAGCAATAGAAACTGAATATGATTTTGAAAATTGCTACATAACTTGAGAGGAACTGGAGAACATCATGCTAAATGAACTAATTCAGTCCTATAAGGACAAATACTGTATAAGACCATTATTGTAGAACTAGAAAGATAACTAGTAAAACATGTGTGAGAATTCAGAAGGGTGGGAAAGGTAGGAGCGGAGGAGTGGGGATGAGCAAGGAGGAAATTATAGGTTCACACAATTTGATGGACGGAGGGAGGGGTGGGTAAAGGAAATAAAGATCCTGTGGCGATTTGAAAAGAGAGCAATGGAGGGCATAGTTCAGTGTTGATTAAGTTTATAAAATATAATGAATTGGAATGATTATATGAAACACAATGTGAATAAAAGATACTGTGAAACCCAATGTATAAAAATTTTGTAAGCAAACCAATATAAAATAAAAATTTATTTTTTTAAAAAAAGCAGAAATTGACTGGACAGCTGATGAAAAGATTCATGGTTCAAAACCATCATCTGCAGCATGGGAGATGGGTGTGACAGTCTGAGTGCAGAAAGATGACAGCCTTGGAAGCCTTACAGGCATTTCTACTCCTACTGTAGGGTTTCTATGAGTTGGAGTCCAATCAATGGCAACTTACTTTTTATAATTTGACTGTGTCTGGAGGAGAAATATGTTTCTTTTCCCAGACAGTGCTTAGCACAGTGCCCTGCAGAGAACAGGCTCTCTGTAATTAGTGACTGAATAGAATAATCACACAGATTCCTACACAAGAAAGAGATTTCCAAATAGTATTCATAAAAATAATACAAAGTGTATTTGAAGTTGCAAATAATGTAGTGTGCATGGATAGTTTTAATAGTAAATATCCAGGATCCCAAGACAGGATCAATTAATAGTAACATTTCATTTAAATGGTTAAAAAATTACTTCTTTAGCCACCCTGCCACTCACCATTCAAATTCCCTGGAGCTCATTTACGCATGAAGCCAGGAATTTAAAACTGAAAATTTTAAGAGAGGGAATATTACTGGAGGGACATTTCCAAGTAAGTTTCATTGAACATCCAAATCAAATTACACTGCACTGAAATGGGAAGTGCTTGCCATCTGGGTGGCTGTTTCACTTATTCAGAAGAGAAATCAAATCAAAAGAGCCCTCCAAGCTAAACACAAAAGTTATAGAATAATCCCTCCAAAGAGAAGAAATAAAAATATAATTCTTCACATTTATCCACTTGCTTTCATCCCAAAGTACCTCTGAGAGATCATTCACTCACTGTGGAAATGCAGCAGCCACTGGGATGGAAACCCGATAACCTATGTGAGCCAGTAACTCTTTAAAAGAGGGGAAGTAAAAATAATTCACCCAATTGAAAAAGCAGCAGGAATGTGGGCTGGAAAAATGGAGCTACCTGAGTTGGAATTTGGCAAGCTCAGCCCAGCTTACTCTGACAGGGAAAGAATGCATTAATGTGCTATTTTATGACCACACATGTTCTCTGCTGATGGGTTAGGACAAGACTTCAGGGTGTGGGGGGCAGAAGTTCTCTTTAGCCCATTGTTCCTTCTTTCTTTTTTTGTTAATTATATACCACATTTAGCATTTAGGGTCTTTCAATGAGGATACATTGATGAAAACTCAACTTGTCTAAAGGGCACTCATAAAACTATATTGTTTCTGGGGTCAAGAGGGTATCCTTGCATCAGGGAAAGTATCCATATAATAGTTTCTTATGTTTAGGTGTAAGGCTAATTTTAGTTTATTTTAATTCCGTTGACAAGATCACATGGAACAAACATCTACTGAAAACAATGAAAGATTATTTTTTTAGATATAAGTAAAATTAATGAGTATATTTTTATTGAATTTACAATATATCTTCTCTTTCTCTCATGGTCATTGAGTTGGAACTGATGCCGAGTTGACCTTCCTGCGGGTTTTTGGAGGGTGTAAATAGCGCAGGTGAAGATTGCACATTCTTTTCCTCTGGATTCAGTAGTGGATTCAAAGTGCCTGAGCAGTGTGACCATTTGGGTAAAGAGTGTGATTCCCTAAGGCACACGCCATCAGAGCTCCCTAAGATTCAAGTTAGAACCATCAATAACTTGTGAAAGGTCTGTGTGAACACAGATTTAAGGAATGAAGTGTGTTCCTTAAAGACCGGAGCTATGCCCTGTTATGTCCAGAAGGGAATAAAAATGAAATCCTATATTAACTAGTTTTGTTCTTTAAACATCACTTCATAGGAACAAAATTTAACTTGGATGAGGTGGTTTTCTTTAAAAATAAGATAATTAAAATTTAACTTGGAGATATGTAAATTCATATCATAGGTGGAATATTACTGCATGTGTAACCAGGGTTTCCTTAATGGGATTACTGATGACATTTAATATGATCTTGAAAAGTGGAGTAATAATATAAGACATTATAATTTGGTTATAAAAATACATTTGATGAAACAATGTGGACATTTTTCATTAAAATAAATTACTCCATCACTTAGCAAGTCAACCCAGAACATGTACACTTATCTATCTCCTCACTAAATTATTAGTTTAGTGACTAGCCAAATAAAAATCCAGGAAATGTTTTCATGTCATAAGTCACTTTTGTCAGGCAAAGTG